AGAAATGATTTACTCGTAGTTTGGAATAATGGAATTATTATGGGAACCGGCTGCTTTAAAGGAACAGATTGAAACCTATTAATTGGATTATAATAACATTCTTTTAAACAATGCCATCCTATTCCATGCCATTTAATGAAAGTCGTTTTTATACAATGAAACTATATTACATTGTCATATGATAACATTGACTTTCAAATAATGATATTATACTGCATTATCAAATAATGATATTGACTTTTAAACAATGACATTATGTTATGTTATCATATAGAGGCAATGAGTCCAGGGGCGGCCCTGGGGGGAGCAGGTGGGGCGGGTGCCCTAGGCCCAAAAAAAATGAAAATTTTTTAGGCCCAGAATTATTTCTTTATAGTATATTTGAGTAGGCGGAGTTTTAACCCAAAATTAATAATTTTGTACAAGTTCAGAAGCCCAAGAACGCAAAAGGCCCAAAATTGAAAGAAAGGAAGAACTAACGTGCAGTCCAATTAGTTAAATTTATAAATTTAACTAATTGATTAGCTATATTAAGTATTGAGCATAATAATGTCTTAGAAAAGCTTGATTATGACGCTATAGTTGGTGATACCGGCCTTAGCAAGTGTATTGTATCGGGGCGTTATTTATCATTAAATAATTTTTTATTCGGTTATTTTGAAAACATTATTTGACTATGTTTAATTTAATGAATTCAAGTATTTTCTTTATTCTAAAGATATTTAAATATTATTATTTTGCATTTTTATTTAGGTAGAAAAGTGTTTTACAATTTTTTTTAAAATTAGGCCCATTTTTTATTGTTCGCCCCTAGGCTTTCGAATGAGTCAATGACATTTTTGGAAAGTATTTCATTATTCATTTTGACAAAGCTATTCTTTAATACTGAAGTAGTATTTCATTTATTGTGACATTTTTAGCAATTTAATGTCTTTATATGTTGTATATGATATTGTAATGTAATGTCATTGTTTAAATAGAGTGATAATGTTATGAAAATGTCATATTTTTAAATAATTTTGTTACGGGTGAATAATTATGTCAAAATGTAGAAATAAAAAATATCACAATGTCCAGCCTTATGATTATAAAGTATAAACATGATCACTAACAAAAATTATCAGAATATTGTAAATATTGTTACAGTGTAGGGAAAATGTCACAAATCGTGACAATGACAATGTCGTAAAAATGACATTGTAATAATGTCAATGACAATATGATACCAATGTCAATCATTATAAGAATGACATTGTTTAAAACAAGTGATATTAATAAGTGACATTATATAGTTAATAAGGGACATTGTTAGTAAGTGACAATATGACATTGTTAAGAAATGTCATTGTTTAATAACAATATGACATTGTTGAGAAGTGTCATTGTCTAATACCAATATGACATTGTTAAAAAGTGTCATTGTTTTTTATGATGCTATTGCGATATTATGACATTATGTAAGAACATTATGACATTGTGATACCGAAATTGTACAATGGTCAAGAAATAACGTTGTGTTCATTGATAATATTGTGATATTATGACATTATGTTATAATATTATGAAAATGAAAGTGTAACATTGTTAAGACGTGAATGTGTTTTCGATGATGACATTGTGATATGACATTACGTGTTACATTCTAATGTTAATATTGTAACATTCAAATAGTAACATTGTTTTTAAAATGTTGTCATAATTCTCCATAAGGAATAATATGTCCATGCTAAAAAAGTATTAAAAAAAAGTATATATTGCACTATAAAAGTTAAAACAAAAGATGGGAGTTTGCAAGTTTTTAGAGTAACACTGGGTTTCAATTTCTTCAAATTAGAAAGAGGAAACAAAAAACAATTCCTTTCAAAAAAATCAGTCTCCCCCAATTCGAAAAAACACTCTCTGTGTCTCCACAATGAAGAATGTTATCCCTTAGGCTCCTCCAAGTCTCCACAAAAAGTCAAAAACACTGCCGCAACTATGGCGACCCAGAACACCTTAGCTAGGGAACAACATTCCCACCTGCAACTCTCTTAGATTGTGTGAGGGTTTAGCCTTTTACCATTCGGAATGAAATCTTGAGATAGACATGGTAGGTGAAATTAAGGAAATAAAGCCGACCAAGCTACAAACTTCACATAATAGTTAAACTTTGAATAACATGGAAAACAAAATCAAAAGAAAAGTTACAGAAAAAAATCAAGAGGTGCTAAAACAGATTGGCGACGGAAGCTAGAAAAACAGAGAGAAAATAGCGGCGACAGAAAAAGAGAAGAAGAGGAGAAGAGAAAGAGAAGAGGAGGAGGAGAGAGAGAGAGATTTGTATCATCTCTTCTACGTTTGCCGGCGCCGCCTTGCACCTCTTCCTCACCGACAAGCCGTTCATTTTCTCTTTAATCTTCAATTGGGCCTGCCGGCAGTGGCAGATCCAGAAAAAATTGTTATTGGGGGTGCCACTAAAGATGTTTTTACTTAGACTGTTTTCAGTCCCATATCAGATCAAATTAGATCTAACCAGATCAGACCAGACCCAACTAGACTTGGACATTGATAAAATACATGGAGAACATATATTTACCATATCTAACCAGTTTAGACCAGACTAGACCCGATCAGGTCAAACCAGACTAATGAATTTCAGTCAAATTAAAAACATTTTAACATGCATATAGTAGCAAAGCTACTCAAAAAAAAATGGGAAAAGGGGCAAATAAGCCCTCGAACTAATCAAAAAAGTGCAAATAAGCCCTTTTGTAGGAGGTTCTGTCCGATCATCGTCATTTGGGGAGGTTCTTGGTTGAATTTTTTGATGAATTTTTTTGAGCATCTTCTTCATTAAGTCTAGTTTAGCCATACCAAATTTCAGCTAAAAATTCAACCGGGAAGGCACTCAAATGATTTTCGGAAATATATTGCATTGTTTAGCTGCGCAGTTATCTTCAAAAATTCATTTGAATGTTTTCCCGATTGAATTTTTAGCTGAAATTCGGTATGACTAAACTAGACTTAATGAATAAGATGCTAAAAAAATTTCATCAAAAAATTCCACCGAGAAACTCCCCAAATGAAGATGGCCGGACAGAACCTCATACAAAAGGGCTTATTTGCACCTTTTTGATTAGTTCGAGGGCTTATTTGCCCCTTTTCCCAAAAAAAATCAAAAAAAGTAGCAGAGCTACTCTAAATAGCGTAGTACGTAGTATATGTCAAGAATTAGTGGAATAGAGCTCCAAATAGGAGTAATATAATTCTCATCATCATCATTACCCCAGTACCGCAAAGGCTTCCACCTACGGTGTGGTAAGGGGAGGTCGGATGGACGCAGTCTTACCCCTGTACTAAAGCACAGAGAGACTGTTTCCGAATGACCCATAAAAGAGTAATATAATTCTAAAATGCAAAATTATGACTAAAGTTTTTATATTCTCAAAATAGTTATAACATAAAATCAATAAAAAATTATACTTCGTACGTAGTATATAATAGCAAACGTAAATAAACCAAAAAAACATAAAAACTTGACAACTAAAAAAAATTAAACAATAAAAAGTATAAGGCCTGCATATTTTTTTTACTTTTTTTTATTTTTGATGTTTTATTATATAAATATAACAAAACAATTGCTCACTTGCATCGGCCAATAATTATACGGAGTATTGTTTTGTTATGGGCATGAAGGCATCTCGCTTTCTTGTTGGGGGCATTTGATTTTTTTTATTGGGGGCACCTCTAATTATTTAAATAAAATATAATTTTATACAACTAAAAATGTAGATTTTGTTGGGGGCATGTGCCCTCATTAATATGTACGTGTATCCGCCCCTGCCTGCCGGATCTGACAGTATTTGCCACCGTTGTTGGCGTGCGTTCCTGATCAAAGAAGAGGTGGAAGAAAATAGACGAGAGGAATTGGACGGGAGAAGATGATAGGAAGCCTGAAAAGGGGAATTTGCAGAGGAGCAAATGCGAAATTAAGTCTGAAGGATAAAATGGGAATTAACGATAAAAGTGGTCCTATTCAGGAATTAAAAAGTACTCGGTCCTATACGCTGACATGTTGAAAGCTATACTCCTATTTAGCACCATTTCTCAAGCTTATATTAATGTAGCTATTCAACTTCTTAAAATAATTGTAATTGTTTACCATAATTACTGTGTTATTCGGATAGATTTACTTGTGTCATCAGATAAAAATCGCTAGCAGTAAAAGGAAATGTATTCTGAGATGGATCATGGATGTAATAACAAATTTATATTAAAACATAAATATATTGTAAGAAAAGTTGGTCAAAAGTACTTTGTTATTGTTTTTTTATGGAAATATGTTTTTAGTCCTTATAAATACATTGTTTTTTGTGTTTTACGCCTCTACAATATTTTTTTTCATCCTTATATTTTATATTTCCTTTCTTTCTTGTCTTTCACCAATCATGATAACTTCCATTTGACAATGATATAACTCTGACTATTTTTTTGTGATGTCATTCATACATATGTAACTACTCTTTGGTGAGTCGTTAAGACTTATTTTATAAATAAGTGAAGGATTAGTTTTATACTCCATATTGTTTTAATTTCAATTCCAATATTAGCCTCCAAGTAGTTATTAAATGGTGAATTACAAGTGTCCAATAGATTTATGCAACTGACATTATTTTTTCTGAAGGAGATTGTCTCGGAGTTAGAAATGATTTTAAAAAAATTATATTGTTGGGATAAAAAATATATTTTGCAATGACCAAAAAAAATATGTCACTTTTGTAGGGTTTAAAATGTATTATCTAGTTTTTTAAATCAAAATTATTTTTGAAGTTGATAAAATTTCACTTTAAAAATACCGTGTATTGATAAGGTGGAAAATACCGAGTAATATTATGCTAATTTATTTGTGTAGAAAGAAAGAAAAGAAAAAATGAGAGAATGCAAGAACATAGGAATAAGAACGTAGGAATTAAACCGTAATGAAAACAAACAAACATTTCTCAACAGAATGTCAGAACTTCATGAGAGAGCTTGGGTCTCATCTAAAAGCTTAGATTATAATGCCACCCTAGAAAAACACAAATGGAGGTTGTTAGATCCGCCCTGGATATTGCATACCAGAAAGCAGTGGAGCACTCTAAAGATAGGCACATCCATTTCCTTAATGGATGTTCTAGATTTTATGAGCTTGCAATGATTCTTGTGGATGGTGGATGCAATGTTGTGTGTAATGATACATATATCCCTAATGAGAGAAGGAACAAGAAGACCGTCCTCTCTGGCCTTCGGAAAATGGCACGATGTCTGTATGAACGCATCGAGGTAATACAAACATCGATTAATGATGAAAAAGATGAGGACCGATCACAGGATAATGGTAATGATTTCTTTCATAACCAGATTCAACGAATGAGTTGTGATTTGGAAATGCTAAAAGACACATTTGGTTTTGTGTTCGGGCAGTCAGGAGACGAAGAGACTAAAATATTGGAATCAGAATTGCAATTGGATATCCACAAGGTTATTATGAGTGAAATGATGAACTCATTGAAAATGGAAAAATGTGATTACGAAATTCAAAATGTGATCAGGGAAGAAAAACATTCCTTGATGACAACAGATGCAGTTAAACATTCTACATCCCATCATTCAAAAGAAGAAGATGAGATTCCCCCTCTGCCCTCATCAGCTAGGAAGTGGGAGAACAATGAGGAGGAAAACATGATACAGGTACTCGACTCGGTGCTAAGGTGTCTAGAGAGAGAAGAGGATTTGGTTTTGAGCGCTAGCAGTGAGATTGAGCAGCACAGCGTAAACCATTACCTGGAGATCTTCCGGACCGAGGAGCGGGAAGAGAGGGAGGCCATCCAATGGCTATTGGACTCTGACGAAAGCATTCTGAGTTCTGTTAATATAAAGCTGGCCAAAGCACTTAAACAGCTCCTAACTAGCAAGGAGTTGTTGTTAGATTTGGAACAGGGTTTGGGCCTGTACCCCGACGGTGAAGGGGACGATGAAAACAATAACAATAATAATGATGAAGATGAGCTTTCTTCTTGTCGACTACACGGTGGCAATCCTTTCTCATCTCTTAGAAGGTTTCAAAAAGTCTTAACTAATTTTGAGGATACCGTGCTTGCTAGTTTAGAGAAGAAATGCTTAAGGTATCCAACTTCCCTTTCAAAACATATCCTCTAAATATTCTCTTTCAGGCCTCACCTATGGCGTCTTTAAATGAATCTGTTGAATTATCTAAGAACAAACATTTGATAATTAAAGAATTTCAGCCAAATAAGTAAATGGAAATCTACTGTATTACTTTATTCAGATTATTTTACTTATAATAAGGGCCTTAATAAATACGGAGTACTACGTAGAATGAGTCGATTAATGAATGCTGTACAACATGCCATATCATAAGTGTCTCTAAGAAAGAAATTATGCACATGAAAGAACATTACATGATTTTGTGATCATACTACTGCCCTTCTCATTACTACTACTATGATTGCATTCTGTCTTGATTTTGTTAAAAGAGTGAAATTGGAAAACCAACATAAATGGTGTTGTTTAATGAAGCGTAAAAACGTTATCCTTGAAAGTGAAACTTATTGTGGATTGACTGTCGGTGTAGTAAGAATGTAGAAAGTTGCTCAGAAATTCATATGAACCGAGTTCACAAAACTGAATATATTATAACAGTAGCATTTGTTCCCCAGGATAGATAAACTGGAGCACCAATTGCAAGAGCTAGAACATCTTGTTGTGACATCGAAGACAAGGGAACAACTTTATAAGAAGGCGTTCTTAGCGAGGTGCCATAACCTGCATTTTGCAGAAAATGAGGTTGTTTGAGACCAAGATTTGTTTAAACTTATGTATATGCCTGACATAAAGGGTAAACATGAAAGTAATCTTCTTTTGGGATTTTTTATTGTTGTTTGGACAGGTTGACCTGCTAGGAGATCAGGTCGAGTCACTACTGCAGTTTCTTGAGAAAATATACAAGAAGTTGAGCAAGTACTCGTCAGTTTTGTCATGCCATTTTGAGGTTTGCCAAATCTAAGTTATCTATTAATGGAAATGTTTCGTTAAGAGTCAGACAAAAAGGAGAAAATAATTTCAATTGGTGAAAGAGAATTTTATCAATTCGGAACCTGAAAATTGATGGATATAAGTATAGGGCTATCGATTCGAGACGTCAAAGATGAAATGTATTGGTATAGGGCGTGAATGACTGAAAACTATCGGTCTATGACCTAATTTGTAATGATTTTTTTGTATTTTAAAAATTAAAAATATTATTTAATTTTATTAAATTAATAAACTGTTGTAAAGAAAAGTTCATCAAAATTTAGTAATGAAGTTAATAAAAAATTAAATAAATCAAAATCTAAGGAGCTTTAGGTACTAGATTGATAGTTTTCAATCATTTGGGTAATATATCGACACATGTCATCTTTCAGATTCCGAATTGATAATTCATGTGTCTTCCATGTCTTAAATTGATTAAATTATTTGGTGAAAGTGGAATTGATTTTTCTTGTGTGCGCAGGTCTCTAACATTGTAGGATTAATCAAGAAAGAGATAGAAGATACACTTGTTTGTGCACAGAATTAATCCCTAGGGTGTATCATTTTCCTCTTTTTTCCTTTCGAAATTGTGCAACATTTAGGATGAATATACGACGCATTTGGATAGTGGTGATCAAGGATGAAATGTTGTAAAAAAACAAGGATGAAATGTCGTTTTAGGGTTTGTTTTATTTAAGCGAGGGATCGAGGAGTGTGTTTTACTTAGGCGTACATGATTTGGTCCATGGTGGTTCTACATGCAGCCACCAATTTACTAATCAAAGCCACATAATTTTAAATGTCTATTCTACCCTTCCAACTCAATAATCAACCACCCTTACAGAAAGATTAGGATAGCCCCTTCTTCTGCAACCAACCTCTCCTCAATCGAGAACAAGTTGAATGGTCAACAACACAACGAAGGGGCGGAGTCAGGGGAGAATTTGAGAGGAAGAAGAAAAAAGCAGGGGCGGAGTCAGGGGGAGGGCCAACCTAGGCCTTGGTCCATTCCAATGTTTTTTAAAATGCTTTAATTTTTAAGGTAAAAAATTACATGTAACACTTTTTTCCAAAAATATTCTTTGTACCGGCCTAGTTCTCTGACTCTGCCCCTGGAAACAAGCAGCTGTGTTAGGATTTAGATACGGTATTCCGGATCGGAAAGAAAAAAGGAAGAATCTGGTCAGAAGTTGGAACTCAGCAAAAATGGCAAGCCTGTGACATGAAGCAACCGATGACGTCGCCGCGACACAACCCCCATGAGCTCCGCTACAGAGGTTCCTATGGAGTTGTCGACGTCGTAACCACTGTCTCTGGCACTCGCGATCAAGCAGCACCGGCAGTTATAACCAAAGCTCTCACAGTTTGGTGAATTGCTTTTTAAACATATCTGCTTATGCTAAAAATTCACACATTCGTAATTATGCTTTTTAAACATGTGATTCCTTCCATTAGTTGTGACCTTTTTGAGTTTGGATCCCAACTCTAAATTCCTTATGCTATGCGTTTTCATTTTCAGTTGGCTCATGCCCATTGTGTTATAGGGAGTATTATTATAAGGGTAAACTAGACATTTATTTATTATAGTGGCTGTAAAAAGAATTTTCCTTTGGTACAATATAGTGAGAATTTTCTCTCATACCTAGGCATGGACCGGATCAGGACCGGTCCAAACCGGGCTTTTTGTTTGTGAGTTAAGGCCCGAAACCGGCTCAGGATTCCACCAGGCCTGGGTTGGGATGGGCTCGGGTCGGGTTATATATATTTTTTTATTTAGCCTTTCTAATTAATTCTAACCCTCCAACCCTTTAACCCCCCACCCCTTAAACCTCCCCAAAATACCCAGCCAAACCGGCCCGGCCCGGCGGGTACCAAAGGAGGTGCAGCCCGGAACCGCCCCCAACAATCCCCCCGGGCCGGTCCTAGGCCCGGAACCGGTCCCAGTTAACCGGGCTGGTCCGGTCCCGCACAGTGGCGTTCCGGTTCGGTTCCTGGGCCGGTCAGACCGGAACCGGGCCACCCCTACTCATACCTTAAGGGCCCTTTTGGTTCAAGGAATATCAAATTACCATGAGAGTGTTAGTTTGTTGTGTATGTTAGACTGATGAGAATGTAGTCATGATCAATTGGTATCTCATTTGGTATTATTAAGATTAAGGGGATGTGACATTAATTTTTTTGGTTGAATAATATATATGTTATATTGCAAACTTGGTGACTTACTTCTATGTCCTTTAAGTATTTTCTCTTAACACAATAAATTTATTATAACCTACAATTAAAGTAATTTAAATTAAAGGAAAAAATGAAATATCTTGATGATAAATAAAATAAAAACTAATTGAAAATATTTAAGCAAAGTATGTTTAATTGTACAAAATACCAAGATTATGAGTGACCGTTAGTAAATACTTTTGTGTAAGTAAATGCCTATTGACACGCATTTATAAATAAAAGTGAATACATTATTACTCAAACAAATGTAGCAAAGAAGCAAGTGAATTTTTGGAACTTATAAGTTGCATAACACTTAAATCATCATTGAGTTAAATACCCAACAATGTGTAAATAAAAGTATACTAAGACAATAGTGCAATTGTACAAAAGCCATCACTGACATTTGCAATAACTCCATGATGATCAAAATGTACTATCAAAAATAAAATCCAGTGGTATCATCACCACTCTTGCATTAGCTAGACTACAATTCAAAATTAACACATCCAGAAATATTTTAGAAGTTAAAGGTGGGATGATATATATAGAGCCAAATCTCCCAATTGATTAGAACATGATACTTTCTAAATGCAATATAAAGGTGTCAAGCTTGTTTTGAGAAGGCATCCAATTTAATGATCTTCTAAAAAATCACCAACCTTATGTCACTCCCAATAGCTTCTTTACTAAAGAGGGAAGAAATATTTTTTAGGCACTCAGTGTTCTTTTGGTAAGAAGATGAAAATTTTCCTATCTTAACAACCAAATTAGTTAAACCATCATCCCACACTTTCTTCTTTTTGCTAGTCACAATTCCACCTTTCTTATTTGGTTCCTTGCTTGTTGCTTGGCTAGCAGATGCATCATCTGTACTAGCCCCCTATTATTCATTTGTTCTTCTCCATATGCACTTCCAAAACCAGTTTCATCATCTCCCACTCGACCATCTTGAAAATTACCAACCTCATCAAGCTCTTCAATCGCATCAACTGCAGTCTTGACTCCTGTTCCAGTAACTCGATCCTTCCCAAACACCTCAACTAGTTCATCATAGTGTGGAAAAGGTTTATTTCTTAAACCAAGAGCTCTTGGATGACTATGCACATAGCAAGGATACAAAAATATTATAACTACATGGTGGACTGTAAAAATACACTTTACTTTATAATATACTCCAGTCATCAAAGGCATCCTTGGTGCATGTTACATAGTGGTCACCTTCATTCCGACCAAAGCCACTATTATAATTTAACATTTCACAGATGGCATATCATTATTTTTTTCAGCAACTTTATTCTTGACTCAATATGAGGATTAGTTCTGGTATCGGTTCCAAGAAGTTTCACTTTTATCATATTTTCTAAATGACCCAAGTACCAAGTTTTGAAGCCATTTTCTCGTTTCTAGTAGAGATCATGGTTGAGGTCAACAAGAAAATCTAGTATAGATTTGTTTTCAATAATTGTCCATTATTAGTGCTTAGTAACAATTGATTTCTTGATGCCGATTCCTTTATATTGCTTAGCTAATGCCTTTTCTTTCAAACTTTTGGATCCATTTTCTGGTCTTATCATCACAAGAAAATAACATATAATAAAAAAAAAATAGGACAAATTAAACAAATAACAATATAATTAAAACAAGTACGGAGTACTAAATTAACAATGAGCTAGGAATTAAAAATAAACAGAACAAAATACAAATAGAAAACGAATACACTAAACATATTGGTAATTTTTATTCAAATAAAGCTGAAACAGTAAATGAGATTAATAAAACACCACTAATAATTATGTGTCCAAGAAGGGAACATATCATTAGCTAGCTTGTATCTCTGAGTAATCTACCATATGCAGTAGAGCCCTCCCAACCTAGTAACACGTATATGAATTGCTTGTCTACTGTGCAAACGGCTGGTTCAAGAAAAATGTTTGATCTCAAGCCTTGTCTCCGGTTGTAGAATTTAGTTTCCTTAAGCTGATTCAAGAAAATAGTTTGATTTGTTTAGCCTCTTTTGGTAAGTAAATTCTCTAATTTTTTAATTTTGGAGTATAACTTACGTTGTTCCTATTGATGGACCGTACAAAAACTAGAATGATTAGATCGTTCAAGTCCAGTTGCATGCAGTTGCTTCTTAGTTAAATCACAAAGTTTTGCTTTGGAATTGTCTACCTTAGATTCAAGGTTAATGATTTTCTCTTATGTGTTGGTTAGGTGAGTCTCGAGGCTCCCTCTCTCCACCAAGCTCTTCACTAAGAAACTATAGTTATTTGGTAAGTGTTCTTCTAATTACTTAACCATTCTATGCTCATTAGCAATTAAGTTTTCGTAATGAATGAAATTAGAAAGACTTGTCTTGAACTCATGAAAAGATTCAACGCATTGATTTATAGACATTGATGATGAGTTCGAGTGGGAATCCATACATTTTGATTGTCGGATATGGATCTTTGACGTGCGGTTGATTTAGTTAATTTGCAAGTTTCTAGACCTTAGTGTGAATTGTCAACGGGATAAAGACCAAAAATGCCACTAAGGTTTTTAGCGAATCTCGGATTAGACACTAACGTTTTAAGTAGACCAAATAAACACAAAATTATATTTTTTGGGTCCATTTTGACCATCCTTTAACGCCACCATTAAAGGAACCTTCCCCGCAGTTAAGTCTCCTTCCAAAAGCCCCCTCCAAGCTAGCAACCCCCACACTTGACCCTGCCCCACCCCAGTCAAACACCATGCCCCTCCCCAGCCCCAGCCCATGCCACCTTCTCAGCTCCAGATCCGAGAAGCCAAACCCCAATCCACACCTCCCTAGCCCGAGCTCTTAACATCCATCCCCAGCCTCCCAAACCAACCCCAACCCGAGCCCTAGCGATGGTGAAGATAAAAGTTGTGCAGAAGAAGAAAAGCTACCAAACGGACATTCGTAAAATAAAAAGTCCTCCCTAGTACTTTTGAATGGATAATTTAATAACCTGCAATGATTATGAAGTTATAATGAAATGGTTTCAGGCCCAATTAGTTTTTTTTAAATAAGCAAGCAAAATGCATATTCAAATTGTGATGCAGAAGAAGTTCCAAAGAAAGCAAACCGGTATGGGATCTGGGTCGTCCCATCGACCAGCAAGGATGATTGAAATTGTGGGGGCAACAAAGGTGTATGACCCTCCAATCACAGCAGGTAACCTCGTCCCAAAGATCCTCTGTAATAAGGTAGGCTTTGACGCAGCTGAGTTAACGACGGGGAAGGGTTAACGTTAAAGGGTGGTCAAAATGGTCCCAAAAACTATAATTTTGTGTTTATTTGGTCTACTTAAAACGTTAATGTCTAATTCGAGATTCACTAAAAACCTTAGTGTCATTTTTTGTCTTTATCCCAATTGTCAACCGTGCAAACTTGCAATCATGTAGTTATGTTTCAGACTTGTCTCCCAAGCTGAATATTTCAAGAACAACTTCTGAATGTTTTTATTCAACTGATGATGTTTATGCTTTCAGCATTGGTTATTCTGGTTCTGATTCTTCATTATCTGATTATGAATGCGATGTGAATGGTGTGCATGTGAGTAGAGTGAGTACATGTTATTCTAGAAAACAATCCAAGAATAGAGCTGTTGAGGGTGTTTATAATCTTCCTAATTTAAAATATCCCCTCAAAGTTCATTCTATGAAACACTTGGACAAACTTGCGAAAGAAAAAATCTTTAAGCCATACCTCACTAAC